TCCCCCCTCCTCCCCCTCTCCCATGTCCCCCCGGAACTGTCAGTCCCGTTGTTTTCTCCTCCAGATTGTTCATCCATCTACCTTGACATTTAACATATAAATATATGTACATAGACCTATATTCCCATGGTTACATATTAATATATTTACATATATACTTGTCTATATTTATGCCTCTGTAAATGTCTTTCCACGGCTATAATCTTTACAGAGGCAGAATGCCACATCACTCTCCTGTGGAGCAGCTGAGAGCTTAACTACTGCACCACCAAGTCTCCGTTAGTGACTCAGACCCATACCAAGATTTTACTTTCAGCCTTAGAAATTATAATATTATAATGATACGAAAGATATTCAGAGTCAAAAAACCCCAAAGAAAACTAAAAACAACAAAAAAAGAAAGATATTTAGAGTCAAAGGTCAAAGGACCTATGAGTTTTCACATGATGTTGCTGGTAAAATCCTCTACCACAGAGACCCTATGTTGGATTTCCAAGACTGCAAATCTTTACAGGAGCAAACAGCCTCTTCGTTCGCCTGTGAAATGGCAGGTGGGTTTGAACCTCTGACCTTGTGATTGCTAGCACACCACTCCACTGACAGTACTACCAGGACTCTTTATGATGCTGATAAAGAGCCTTACATTTATTAGGTCTTAAATGAGGGCTCTTATATATTCTATCCAAAGAAATATGCTGATATGATAACATATTTGGCTCAAAGGTCCTGGATTACATTGCCAAAATATCAGATTACTGAAATGGAATGAGAAGTTACTGCTCGAATAGGTTAAGCCCAATGGTTGAATAGTTAAAAAAAAAATCTCTAAATGAACCAAGATAAAATTATATCTCACTGGGTTTGAGTTTTATTCATAGTTAGAATGGTACAAAATTTTCCAAATACACTTTAAAATGATCAATATTAAACTAAACATGTGACCAAATTTAGTTAATAATCAAAATACCATATATACTCGAGTATAACCCGAGTTTTTCAGCACATTTTTTATGCAGTCATTGTGGTAAAATGAGGTGCCTCGGCTGATATTCGGGGTGTCTTATACTCGAGTATATGGTACTTGACTTAAGAGACACTGATGGTACTTGACTTAAGAGACACTGAAAAAAGATATCTATAGTTAGATGATAACACTTTCACTTCTCCAATGGTACTGATTTGTAAATACTTTCACGTATCATCTTTTTATAACCACTATATGTTGTATTGAGCACCTCTCCTTATATAGTGTTCAGTCAGGAACTTACTTACCTTCTCTGAGTGTTTGAACTGATGCCAGTAACTGTCATACATGCGCTTTGTAGTTCTCTCAGGATAGCAGGTCACTGTCTTAATGTAAACCTTCAGGCTTCGTTCAAGTAATTGATTAACTTCTCCATAATCGTAGTCATCATACCTAAGCAATACAATGGCAGGTTTACAATGACATAACCAGAACTCTTAATTTTTAAAGTTATACCAAGAGAAGTTCATTGCATAGTAATTAAATACTAAAAGGTCATTAAGTTCATTGAAGAAAAAAAAATCCATTGAACTCCTATTATGCGCCAGGCACACTTTTAGCACTGGAGATGTGAACACTAACAAACAAACAGATCAAACAAACAAACGACCCTCTAGCCTCCAGGCATTTAAATGCTACTGGGAAAAAGAAACAGAAACTAAAGTAAATGTCAGACAGTGACTAGTGCAAAGAAGAGGATGGAGCCGGGCCTGAGGAGAAGCTGTGGGCTTAAGCAGGGTGAGCAGGGGCTTCTGTGCGAAGCTGGCAGTTGAACCAGTTCCAGAAGGTGGAGGAGCAAGTGAGACAGGCGTCAGGAAAAGGGGGGTCATCAGCGGGCTAGCGCGGCTGGTAAGACAAAGGGATCACCGCGAAATGACCACTGGATGTCAGGGTGAGGGGTAGGCCACCGGCAGCCTCGCCAAGAGCGGTTTTGGTGGCACTACAGGAGTAAAAGCCTGGTATTACAGTAGGTTCCAGGGAGAATGGGGCAGGAGAACATGGTGGCAGTGAATGCTTTAAAACATGGTTTTTATTTGCCGAGCCCGTAAAGGAGGACACGAAGGATGATGGTAGCGTTTGGGGGAGGGGCGAGTGTGGAGCCATTCCAATCAAGCTGCTCCTGCAGGGAGAGTGGAGAGCTGCTGGAAGTCAGTTCGCTAAAAGGTGAGAGGGGGTGGAGCCTTGAGTTCAAGTGAGGAGCAGAGCAGACCATCCCTCTAACACAGCAGAAGAGGCCCTGCGGGGGTGGGGTGGGGGTGGGGGTGGTGGTGCAGGTGCAGGTAGGTGGGTGAATGCGGCATTGACAACTTGTGGAGTTTTTCTTCTATTTTTTCCCCCAGTTGATTTTTAATGTTTTAAATGTAATACCTATTGGTTTTTAGAAAGTACCTTGTGGATCTAACTACCAGAGCATTTATTATTTATTGCCTTCCATATATAATACATATTTATTGCAATTAAATTAAATTCTATTCATGCCTATTTTTCTTGGGCAGGTAAATATGTATATATTTGAAAATGTTATGATTCTATGATAAATTATCATCCAGAATAGATGTGGCCTGTAACAAGTCATTATGTATCATCAGAATGCAGTTTTTAGAGAGAATAATACATGGCTAACTAATTTATGAGGACATTTTGGGTTACTCATTTAGACTCTATAGAAAACACACTGCTCAACAATGTGAATTCGAATTCCATCCTACAAAAATTTTAGAAACACCAGAAATGATACAGTAAACAATCAACTTGAATGCACACATTAACTGTAAATTGTTCCTTTCTGCAAATTCATCTCCACAAAAGCCAGCTTTTTCAGTCCAGCTTAAAAAGTCACATTATCAAAAAAAAAAAAAGTCACATTATCCAAAAAGAGTTTTCCAGATTCCAGCTTTCAGTCTCCTTCGCGTTTACTCACTGTCCTCTTCATGCTAATTTCCTGCGTTCAAAGGCCATTAATTTATATTGATTGCTATGTGCCGTTCCAGTGTGGTTATGTGATGATAATGCATGCAAGCTTGGAGGGCAGAATCTGTTCCAGTTTTAATTATGCTCTAATTACCACCCCTTCAAAAATAAATTACAACAGCAAACAAACAACCAAACGGGCTAACATTCATGACAATGGTCTGAAAAACACAATGCATGCTTTCTGAACTGACCTCTTCATTCTAGAAGGATCCTCCAGTGCAACCTGAGTCTAGCTGCAATGCTTGATGTTGCTTTTCCTTAATAAACCCTTACTACTGGACTTACCTGTGCATCAATAATAAGATTCACATTTAACCTCCCCTCCCAAAATGCTTTTCTACAAAATGGAGTACTTTTCTCACTTTCCCCAATCCAATGCCCACAGGTAGTACCTTCTCCCCTTGAATTGCGCACTCATTAACAGGAGGTAACTAAGACTCGAGTTAGAATTATCACTTAGCAATGTGTACAATGGTGTCCAGGGTGAACATACCTGATTCCAAACATACAGTGAACATAGTTAAATAAAGCTCGGCGCAGCATGGTTGTGTCGACATCCTCGTGGGTGGCCATAGTGTTATAGGTGAGATTGTAGACCATCCGGAACTTTTCATCCAGAAGATGTCCAATGTCAGAATAAAGTCTGTTCACCAGGGAGAACCCATGGTTTTCCCAAGTGTAGTCCTAAGGGAATAGAATCCATCGAGTTGCAAAATGGGCATTCTGCACGTAAACTCTGGGCTTTTGTTAACATTAACTACTTGAGCAAGGAAGTGGGGATATTTCAAATTTACATTCTAGATTTGCTGCTTTACTACAATGCTTTACTGAGAGCCTTTTGCCTGGCCCACTGGCCCTGGGAGAGCACGATACTTCTGGGAAGCCTGCAGTCTGGCATGTGAGCGATGAACGTTGGCCACCTCCTATGGTTTGGGGGTTTCAGAAAATCCCTTATTGACTAAACTGACTTTGTGACGTAGACAGTTAGCAGATCATGTGTTCTAATGAAAACTATGCCCTTTCTACAGTCGTGTCACCATGAGACTATGCCTTCTAAGGAGCTCTGTCTTTAAGGTTCACATTTAACATGATAGCATTCATCAATGCTGGCAGATGCTCTTCCTTCGGCTGTGGGCAAAGTCTCTTAAGCCCGTTAACTACTGGTGTGTGAGCTTACTACAAACATATTAGTATTATAAATGTGACCCTATTGCTTTATTGCCTCCCTGCTCCAAACAAGTGGTATGAACATTATAAAATGACCTCTTACTAATGTAAGTAACCCAATAAAAGTTTCCTTTTGCTTTGCGGGGGGTGCGGTGAAGGGTGATGGGGTCCATTCACTTGAACATCAAAGTAGAGTAGGCCTAAAATGAAATTGTTAAGTCATACAACATTTAGTCCTGTCATTTCTCTGAATCAAACACATCTCCTACCTGAGCTCGGAATGTTGGTAAATGCTCTTCCCCTCGTCGGGCAAAGTCCTCATACCCATAGCCGGGGTCTTCAATATATCGGGAGACATCTGATGTCACAACCATGTCCTCTTCAAAATCTAAGGGCAATAACAAACAGTGTGGTGTTATGAAATTGGTACATGGTAAAGACAATGAAACAAAATCCCCCTGTTCCCACTTTTTAGCTTTCCCTTGGCATTTCTGAAAATCATGGCCAGTCAAGTAGACACATAATTTTTAAGTATCACAGCCAGCATTAACTCTTGCTTTACACCACAGCATTTGTTACTGCCAGATATACGTCTTTAATGCACAGAATACTTGGATAGATACTTTACCACTGTACATGTAAAGTGTTGGATAATGAGATAGTCAATAAATAATAGTCAATCAGTAGGTGCATATGAAATAAACAGTGTGCCCATGTGACAGGTACTTAATGGGTACCAATACTATTGTCAGCAAGTGAGAAGTACAAAGCGAAGTAGTTTAAGGTGTGGAAAACTTATAAATACTAAATTACTTAAGTTGACCTGAGGCTTTTGAATGACTTTTAGTTCTCAGGCTTATCCTTAGCTCAAGCCCACAGTCAATTTTGTTTCCTCTTGTATTTTAGTACTCTAGTCAGATAAAGAGAAGCATTTTTAAATATTGGTTTTACAATGGACTATCTCTTAATATTTTAAAATAGGTTATACTTTGCTTAATGTAGTCCATTATATCATAATCGATACGAGTGATACAAAAGCCAACATTTAGTGATAGGCAATTCTGTAAAGCAGCTTCTCTCTTGAAGAGATCATTTCCAGAGTTGGCTCAGGGGCCCTGTAAGACAGGGTAGCACTGCCCCTGCGATTGTCTAGGCTGTAACTTTTTACAGGAGTAGAAAGCCTTGTCTTTTTCCTGTGGACTCAGGCTGGTGGTTTTGAACTATTGACTTTGCAATTAGCAGCTCAAAGCATATTATTTAAAGCATATACTGAATTAGTAAATTTCTTGTTTACTTAGTATTCTTTCTATTATACAAAGATTTTAATTTTTTTATTTCATCTATTAAAGCAGGATTACTTTCTTTCTTTTTAAAATCATTTTATTGGGGGCTCATACAACTCTTATCACAATCCATATATACATCGTGTTAAGCACATTTGTACATTTGTTGCCCTCGTCATTCTCAAAACATTTGCTTTCTACTTGAGCCCTTAGTATCAGCTCATTTTTTCTCCTCCCTCCCCGGCCCTCCTCCTTCACGAACCCTTGATAAATTATACATTATTATTTTGTCATGTCTTACACTGTCCGACGTCTCCCTTCACCCACTTTTCTGTTGTCCGTCCCTTAGAGAGGGGGCTATATGTAGATCCTTGGGATCAGTTCCCCCTTTGTCCCCTACCTTCCCCTTCCCCTCCTGGTATCGCTGTTCTCACTATTGGTCCAGAGAGGTTTATTTGTCCAGAATTCCCTGTGTTTCCATCTCTGATCTGTACCAGTGCACATCCTCTGGTCTAGTTGGATTTGTAAGGTAGAATTGGGATCATGATAGTGGGGGGTTGTGGGGAGGAAGCATTAAATAACCAGAGGAAAATTATATGTTTCATCATTGCTATACAGCACCTGACTGGCTAGTCTCCTCCCCATAACCCTTCTCTAAGGAGATGTCCAGTAAAACAGGATTTCATTTATCATTTAAAACCTACACGAGTAGGTCGAATTCATTATTTCTACCTAACTTCATAAACAATTGGTAAGCTTTGGGTCACATTTTCACGTGTACTTGAATTGCTTTTACATATCTACCAGGACAACACTGAAGCCTGTTCTGCGAGGGCACCAAGAACAGCAGAATGCACAGAGAATAAAGCCAATCACCTGAAAGAGGAAATGAGTGAAAAGTATCTCCAGCCACCACAAACAGCCGTTCTTTCTTCTCCTTCTCGAAACGAGTGGTCATTTCTTCCTGAGAAGCCTCTTCATCTCCCCTTTCTTCTTGAAGTCTCTTCATCCTGTCCATTAAGGCCTCCAGCTCGCTTAGTGAACCCACAATCTGGAAGCAGAGAGCATATGGGTGCCATTATCATTCTCCTGAATGTCCCCATTTCCCAGTGGTACATGACTGTGGGCAGTGGAGTATGCCTAACTGGATTTTCCATCAACTTCAAAGAAACTCGTCTGGCGGATTCACACATTTTTGAAGGGCAGGCCTTTAGGCTTAGTTATAAATATTTACATTTTAAAAGTAACTTATGAATGTTGATGTATGTAATCTAGAATGATGGCATGTGGTATGATTGAATTATATAACAACAGGAAGCATCAAACTTTTTAACTTTCTTCTGTCCTTAAAATATGTATTTTCCAATGGTTACTCCAGCATCTTTCAGACAACAATGCACTCTTCTGAGATTGTTCTTCAAAGGCTGTAATCTTAAGAGCCTGTAACCACTACAATGCTTAATTGTTCTGATCAATGTGACTTGGAGTAATATCTAATTGCTTTAAGAGCCTCTTTAAGACAAACCACAATTTCAGGTACCAGTTAAATCTTTCATTTTAATAAAAAAATCATGCAAACTTGTTTGTACATATGAAAACGTTGCAATGGCAAGGTTTCCGTACCCGAATATATATATCTTGCCCCCACGATAAAAATGTATGCTGAAATGGTTCATATAGATATCCCTTTAAATTAGAAATGAAAACATAGTTAAAAAGGAAAAAGTTGAGAAGACACACCCGAAAGTTGCTGCTTGTAAGGGATGCATTCTCAATGTTGTTGTCGTTGGCGAGATCACAGACGCAAAAATTGTTGACTGCTATTAGCCTGAATCCATTGGAGATTTCCGGATTTCTTTCTGGATTGATGCCACTCCCAAACACAAAGCTTGCCAGGGCATGATAATGTGTCAGAAGGACCACAGCATGTACCAGTTCTGGCAGAGACCAATTATTTTCTCCAGTTTTGACAAGTTTCTGAAATGAGCAGCAAGTACGGGTACATGTGAAAATGGCTATAAAGGACATTTTAAAAGCATGGAGAGCTATCAAATTTCACATACTCATTTGTTACAGTAAAACTTAAGACCTCCTTTTAAAAAATGCTTCCTGTATTAAACATAAGGCCATGGTCTAACAGTGCTACATTCAAATAATCAAACAATGTAATTATGTATGGTTTCTTTTATGAAAGTCCTTATAAGACATAATATCAAAAAGTATTACTACAAAATAATTGAAATATTTATTACAAATATTTATTAAAGTATCATAATATGAAACCATTATTTATCTGTATCTCCCCCATCTAGGTCTATACTCTTCTGAAGGGCCCGTTTCTCTCTTTGGAATCCTTGTCTGAAGAACTTTGAGCTCTTTGGTTACTGCCACATCAGAATGGTAGTTTGGGCACCTATAAAGTTTCTCAAGGGTTTTCCTTTTTAATGCTCTTTTTAAATTGGGTAACAAGATCAAGTGTGAAGGGGCAAGAAAGGGCCCTGAGATGGATGAAGTAAGGCTGCAAACCAAAATCCTTGCAGGACATCCCTTGCTAGCCTTGAAGAATGGGCAGGTGCGCTGTTATGATTGCAGGGGGTGGTGGTGGGGGCTCATCCTCAGAGCATCTCTCCTTTTATCCATCTCCACCTTTTGCCAACCACTGAGTCCTATTTATTTTCACATGGAAGGATTCCAAATATCTGGTTTCTTTTTTTAATCTTCCATTGACTTAGTATTTTTGGAAAAACACCTCTCAGGGTAGCTGGCTTCTCTGCTTCTAGTCGGTTCCACTTATAATTTATTTTCCGCATCACACAATAAGCTCAAGTCACAAGTTGGTTTAAAGAGCCTTTAAGAATTCTCCCTCACCCTATGTACAATGGAATGAAACACTGTTGAGACCTGTCACATCCTCATAATTGTTTCTCTGGAAGGGATGCTCCAGCCACTGTGTCATTCCATCATATTCCATGCTGAAGTGCCACTGCATGGTACTGAAGTACCACTTTAATAAATTCACTTGTTCCACAGGGAAAAAAAGAATTCTCCCTCATAGTCACCACTAAATTTTTTTCTTAACCATAAATGTTTGCAGCAAAAATTGACTGGGAGGGGTAATTATAAATTCATACATAAAATTTTATATAGGATATGCATATACTGAAGTAATGTCATAAAATTCAGAAATTTTTTGAACAAAGAAAATTTAATGGCTGAAATAAGAACATGCATATGTACACACATGGTTTCTGCTCTTATTTTGGAGGACTGTCGTATACACTGCTGGAGGACCGTTAAGTAGCTGGAGAGATATGAGGATAAAATGTGAATTCCCTAATAGAGCATTCATTAGCTTATACAAAATTCTTCCCTTTTCTTCTCCCCACCTTACATAAAATTCCTATATTTCAGTTAACTCCAAACTGTCAGCCACTCATTCAGCATATTCTAAGATTGCATACTCTAGTCACTGCCATTGGTCCAATGTTATCTCTGCCAGGAAGGCTCCTCTCACCCCCAGGGACAACTTTGTAACCCCCTCCTCTTTATTTTCACCACTGCTTTTAGAGCACTCATGTGCTGTGATAGCATCTTTACCTGCCTGCCCACTGTGGCCCGCCTTTCCTCTCCCTAAGCTTCTAAGAATGCAGAGGGAGGGCCGCTCACTAAGTAATCAAGGATTTCTCCACTAAGTAATCAACATGCAAAAGTAAAGTGACTTGATTCCTTTATCTAATGGAAAGATGACTGATCTACATATAATCCAAAGGCAGCATTGGACTTCGCAGATTTCCAGGAGAGGCTCTGAGTCCGAGATTTCTAAAAGATTTCTAAAATGTATACTCCCTGCCATCGAGTCAGTGCTGACTCATAGCAACCCCCTTGTTTTCTGAGACGGTTTCTGTTTACGGAGTAGCAAGCCCAGCGGAGCTACTGGTGGTTTCAAACTGCTGGCCATGCAGATCGCAGCCCAGTGCATAACCACTACACTACGAGGGCGCCTCATATAAAATGGATGGAGATAAAGTTAAATTTACTTAAAGAACTGGGAAAATCGCTAAGAAAGAGATAGTCTAGTAAGAAGATTTAAAAACAATGCTATTTCTATTCAAGCATTTTAAATGAGGAAGGCTTCGCCGACAACACTGAAGATCACGCGTTCATTCAGGGTGACCCCGGCCTTACCAAGCACACCTGCTCCTTGGGTCCCCTTGGCTGCCATCTTGCGCACAAGCAAGATCTTAAGGCTTTTCTTCCCTCGTGGCACCGAGCACTTGGTTAGCAGCAGCCTGCCCTGTTTGCACCACTCAGGCACCTAACTTAAATCACAGCTGCTATTTATTGAACCAAGTGTCAAGCACGGTGCTAAACACACTGCGCTTACCATACCTTGTAGGTCTCTGATGGAAGGCCCCTTCAAGGTGAAGTGCTGCAGTCAGTCACAAGGCTACTTCAGATCTAAGTTCTTTCTAAAGTTCCTAATGACACAATAGCTGGCAGATCCCATCTTATTTGCAAAATTATTTCTTTAAAAGCTTGAAATTCTGTAATGCTAGAACTAGAAAGGAGTTTGGAGCTCATGTTTTCCAGCTCCTTCATTTTGCAGCAGAGGGAATGGAGACCATAGAAGCTCAATCACGGATCCTCACAAACCTGTGAGTAACAGAGGCTAGAGCCTGGGCGTGCCATGATGCAACCGTGCCTTCTTTGTTCTACTTACTGCATGAAGATGGAAATCAATTTTCCAAGTATGTGCTAACTGCCTATGACTTCAGGAGAATGATTCGTTTTAAAGTTACATTAAATCCACTGACTTTCTACAATTATCTTTTTGACACAAGTTGACGTATTTTGTTGTTTTTCACGTTCTTAGCATGCACAGGTTTCAAATGAATTCTTAAGTAAAATTCTTAAGTAATACTTACTTAGCTCAGTAAGTATCTCTCAGTTAGAATGACTGGTAAACTCTCCTTGATTTACAGAAAGACAAAAAGCACTTGGTACCTGAATGTGCTCTTTTGTGATCAGCCAGGGCCGGTGTGCTAGCAGCTTATTTATGTCATTAAGGTTTCTCAGTCTTTGTGGTACATATTCCAAACCATTCAGCCACTCGGCCATACCGCCGGTCTTTAAAAACTCATCCACGTGCATGTTTATTAAATAAGAACACTGATGCCTAGCTGCAGCCTGAAACACAGAGAACACAGCCTGTGGTAAAGCAATCATGGTGTGGCTAATGCATTCCCTGTTTCTAAACCAATCACTCAGATGGGGCTCAGTTGTTTTTGGGGGCCATATTTTTTTTTCTTTCAAAATTCCCCTTCTAAAAATTCTGCTTTAATGCTGCAAAAGATTCTTGAATACTTGAAGCTGATACATATATAAGCAAGCGCTTATCACATGAAGCTTGTTGCCCCCTCGCGCAGTAGCTGGTGGAGGTCAATCCAGAGCCACCATCTAACCCTGGTAAGGAGATACGTGTGCACTTCTCACTGTTGGAAGTGAGATCTACTGAATTTTGTTTAAAGCATAAGAAAGTCTCATGAACGTGTCTGTGTATTGTGCCAATAGAAAATTTATACCAATTAGGGCACTTCTCGTATGCCAATTAGGGCACTCCGCTGATTTAAGACAGCTTGGACTCCAGGGCTACCTGTGCCACACAGTAGCCTGTTGATGCCAACGGAGCCCACAGTCAGTGTGGACACTGACAAGGGAGTAAATCCCCCAGGGCAGTTCTGACCGCTCTTTCCTTGGGACTGCTGCTCAGAGAAACAGCATTATTTTATTCTTCCTATTGTCCCCATTTTGTCTCTGTCTGCGGTCACTCTGTTCTTATTCAGCCACCCTATCATCAAAACTAAAATTATTTATTTGTAGTCGCGCTCATCAATCAGTAAAGCAGAGTGCTACCCAGATCTCTGTTGGTTTCTAACTTCAGTGAGAATATTGAAAAATATAATGAAATTAAATTTGGTAAAAACTGATCTACTAACTACTGGCCAATTCTGCTATTACTCTAACACAGGTGTCCTCAAACTTTTTAAACAGGGACCAGTTCACTGTCCCTCAGACCCGCTGGAGGGCCAGACTATAGTTTTAAAAAAAACCAAACCTATGAACAAATTCCTATGCACACTGCACATATCTTATTTTGAAGTAAAAAAAACCAAAGGGGGCAAAAACACCCAGTGGGCTGGATAAACGTCCTTGGCGGGCCGCATGTGGCCCGCAGCCCATAGTTTGAGGATGCTCTAACATTGCCTCGTATACGAGGGGTTTCAAAAAGTTTGGGGGAAGAAGTCCATTATTCTTTAACAACTTTTCCCACCAACTCTTTGAAGTCTCCTCGCGCAGCACGGCCGTCTTTTTCTCTAGTAGTGTTGTTTCTTTCTACCCTTCTCGTCTTGACGGCTGCGTCCACCCACCACCATCAAGCCCATTCCAATTCACAGAGACCCTACAGGACAGGGGAGACCTGCCCCTCCCATCCCAATGTATAATTCTCCACGCCCCTAAGTAATATTAACTAGTTAACTTGTGTCTAACAAGTACTATAGTAAAAGTGCTGATTCATTTAAGAAATCTTCTCTTACTCATTCTCTATTGGTCCTGACTGATATCCTCTTATTTAGTCAAGCCAGAGATAGTCCTCATGTACAATGTGACCAAGTAAAATATCACAAACAGCCTGTGTTTAATTAATAATAAAAACAGGGCATCAGGAACAAAAACAAACTTGGGTGAGTATTCTTTTGGACCCTGCAAGCGTCCTTAATCCTAAGAGATTAAATATAGAAAATGTGTTTACTACAAATTAAATGAGAAACAGCCAGTCTATGAAGTGGCTTAAAGCATATGAGATGGTTCCAAAAGGCCGCAGGCTCCTTCCGCTCTTGCCTCCTTACGGGTGTCCTGAGCTCCGCACATACACTTTCAGACTGGAGAAGGATGTGGGCAGGAAACTAGGAAGAAGGACACCCACCATGATGGCGATATAGTGCCTGTGAGGGAGAGGAAGGGGCCCATCCATGCGCAGCATGTAAAACTGGCTCCTCAAGAAAGACTCCAGGTACTGGGTGTGCAGACTCATGACCTGTGTGATGTTGTCCAGGCGGCCGGACGTTGAGTATTCTTCCACAAGAAAGTTGGTGCGTTCATCTACTGTGTTTGCTTGGACAACCTTATAACCAGGAAACACAAAACAAAACGCTGACTGAGTAGTAAACACATCTTTGGTTTACATAAATTATGCCACTGCTGAAGCAAATGAATGTTCTTTTGATATTAACAGACAGCGAAATTATGCAGTTGCTCATACTAGAAACAGCGACGAAAAAGAAAACACCCTTCATTTTTGGCTCTGATACCACAATTTATTAAACAACAAATGTCAAATTATCAAACATTCTACACACCATCTTTGAAACCGGAGGAGAGAAGCTCCATCTGTTTTACCAGGCACACAGGCAGATTTTCAGGGCCCACTTGCCTGCCCATTGTCACGCTCATCCAGGGAGAGGCAACAGCCATGGCATTTGGACTACATGTGATTTTTATCTCAACAGCCTATGCAGATAATTAATTAGTCACATTATCTTTAGACAGATATTCTCAGTATGATCCTTTGGCCGTGCCTGTCGTTCAACATTATGTCACAAAAGGAAGAGAAGAAGAAAGCAAGCTTTCTTAAGTCTTTCTGGGAACAAAGAAAAAGTAATTGGTAGAAAAGTGTTAATTGAAAAATTAGGAAGGATGCTAGAATATGATCATTCCTATTTTGAGCTTATTATACAAATGATAAGAAACAAGGTACGTTATTAAAATGGACAACCTCCATCCTAGGAAATCAAAGGCATTTTTTCAAAATGTGATTATTTATATATATCATTGTGCACAGTGACAGTTTGTGGGAATCACACCAAAAATTGGCTCCGAAGGTGTTAAGAGCTTATTAGCACCTTGTACAAAGACCCAATTCTGTGGGAATTAATGGACATGAGAGGTATTATTTCCATATTTTACTCCACTCATTAGAAAGCTGAGTGTACATTTGCTCATTCCTGCCCCTTTGTCTATTACAGGGCCCAAGATGAAGTGTTAGAGTATAATAGGGTCCAGATGAAGCACTTCTAGTTAGGGAGAAACTATTTGTTTTTGTTTCCCTCTTCTTGTTGAGCTTTCTTTTGTTGTACTATACGCCTAAAATACATTAACAGAGTCGTAGGATCCCATAAATTCTGAAACCAGTGGTGGCATCTACAAACCAGATGATCTTCAAATCTAAACTGTGACAATAACTGTACTTGAGTCACCCCACTACGAGCAGCACCTGGTTATGTGAGAGACACAGGCCTAAGCACAGCCCTTTCTCCAATGTGTGGCCACCACTGGGATGAGCAGCTGTCACTGAGCTCCTGAAGCAGTATGCCTGCTGTCCTGGATGTTCATTCACACGGCCAGGCCACTAAAAGAGTGACATGAAGATGAAGCAAGTGCTGACTCTGGCAGTGAGCTGGCATGCATGGTCCTAATGATACTACTCTCCTCTTTTATGTCTGGCACAGAGTAGGTATTCTATTAATATGCATTAACTAATCGGAGAGAAAAATGATAGCTTTGCAGTGACTTGTGTATGAGCACACATGGTAATTCTATTTGAGATGAGCTAAGAGCTAGCTCCTTGAAGCAATGGCTCTTTATGTAGCACACACAGGTCTGAGAGGTATCTAGGGATCTAGAAAGTGGTTGTACACTGCTGTGATCTTTCATAGAGATATATTCATGAAAAATAGCCACAGTCCTTCTGTCAATTACAATCTCTTGTGGGTAATCTTATAGCCCCTTTCCTTGCATTTACCACCTTGATTCCAACTCTACAAAAGGTTGCCAAATTTTATTGGAGATCCTGTGGAAAGAGACATCATTGGTAATGGTAATGTAATGCCATTCTACTCAATAGACTTGTTTGAGAAACTTTATTTATTTAAAAAATACCTTTAACATTTATGTAACTGCTAATCACCATGTAATTAGTGACTGTGGCAGTTACATAACTGCTGTCAACTTGAGGAAGGGGTGGAGTCTAGCCTGTCAATCAGGTCGCAGCTTGATGAAGTTTGACAGAGATAAATAGCTCATTGGAGGCCAGACACACACGCTCTCCATGCGAGACATCCCTGTTGACAAGCTACATGGAGCTACTACACTGATGGAGCCCTGGAGCTGGAAGAGCCATGTGTAGACCCACGCTAGTGCTGAGATGCTTCCACCACCACTGGATCCACAAAACTTTCCACCCGATGGCCTTGATCTTCCTGCATTTGGCGTATTGCATGTGTTCATTGGTCTGAAGAGGAATTAATTGACTGGTGTGTTTTCCTGGGTAGACTAGAGAAACACATTCCTGGATACTAATGTGTGTATAAGAAAGAGCTTTATATAAAAGAGCAAGTGTATACTGAGAAACATCCCAGATCAAGTCCATAAGTCCAATATTAGCCCATGTGTCCAATACTAGTCCATTAATTCCTCTCGAAACTCATGCAGCCATGCAATGATGCTGAATGCAGAAAGATCACTGGCCAGTGGGTGGAGAGTCTTGTAGATCCAGTGACAGTGGAAGAACCTCAGCGCTGGTGTGGGTGTCCATGTGGGTCCTCCAGCTCCAGGGCTCTGGCTTCATCAGTGTGTCTCCATGTGGTTTGTCAATAGGAACATCAAGTAGAGAGTGTGCATGTGTCCCGCCTCCAGCAAGCTATTAGTCTCCTTAGTACCTCCAAATGAGGTCATCAAGCTGGACCTGATTGACAGGCTAACCTCCATCCCTTCACTCTCAATCGTCCCAAATTGACAAAAGATTAAGTAACTACCACAACTGGTATAGGGCACATGGGATACTATAGAACATATAGGTTAATATCGAGCTTACGGACTTGATCTGGACTGGGCTGGGATGTTTTCTTAATATGCAATTACTCTTTTATATAAAGCTCTTTCTTGTCCACATATGAGTGTCTATGAATTTGTTTCTCTAATCTCCCTGGATGAACACAGTGGCCAATGAAAAACTTAAAACATTCAGATTAACATTAATTTTTAAAACTCTTAGCTTTACTCAGCAGAGTTGTATTTGAAATCAACAGATGGCTTAATTTCTATTATTCTAACCATATTATATAACCTAACTTCAAGAAAATAAGTCAGATAACACACTCAAATGTTTACATTAAGCTGAAAAGAAAATCTCTGTGGTTTTGACATATAAACAAGAAACTCAAGAGCAAAGCTTTTTTTTTCCCTTCTGAATTAAAAATGGAGATATTTTTGGTACAAAGTTATTATTTATCATGCTTCATGCTTTTTAAGACATAAACTTACATCCTTCTCTGGAATAAAGGCACTTGGTCCTCGTGTCAAGGGCTGAGATACTCTGATTCTTTTGTCCTGTTTGTAAAAGAAAGGTTTTATGCATTAATGATGATTATAAGAAAAGGTAAAATTGTTCACATTTATTAATAATATGCGATAATAAGTACAGTTATATACAACCAGAGTGAGTGGATGTTGGGTCTCAGAAAGAAGAAACACAAAGTATCATCACATGGATGAGATAATGGGTCGAAGCCCTATCATCTAGTGCTAGAATCATAGGTTCCACAAAAATAGAAATACCTATTCCACTTGATCCTGTCTCCTGGCCACAGCTAACTAGAGCAAGCTCCAACCAGTACGGAGACCAACTGGTCGGCATTCCCATGGGTGAGAGGCTTGGTGCAAAAGTTCTGCCTAAACAAGAGTTGAATGTAATTAGCTGGGCCACTAAGATGCTGTGTACTAGAATTACACAACAATAATGCAATCTAACAGAGAGAATAGGAGCAAAATATCACTCTGATAACATGGAGAGATGGAGAGAAGTGTGATGTATGAGGGTTGTCATCCATAGATACTTGCTTCAAAGGAGACAATCACTAGTTTCTGTGGATTCCCTAGAGAAATCAAAGCCTAACCAGTCTTAAGCTCTCTAAGTCAGCCTTCCTTTCTCCTGGCAGAACACTTCAAATGCGCTAGGCATGTGGGTACACAAATGAAGATTAGATTAGAAAATGAGTATGATATAGCATAGCTGACTCATACACAAAGTGGCATGGAAGACATTTTAGCAGTTGTCATGTACCTAATCATTTTCTTAACGGTGAATAGTCAAGTTACGTAAAAAAATTCCTTATTATAAACATCTTTGATTAAACAATTTTGTTGCATTTAGCACTGTTTCTCTAGGAAATCCCCAGAAAGTGGGTTTTTATAGCATACTGTCGATATGCTAACAAAAATGTTTACTGATTTTATTTTCATCTAAGAAAACACCCATTTAACCCACCCACTTCAAAAGTAAAAAAGAGCATCTCAGAATTTGTTAAGAAACTTTTACTGTGGATGTGTTGCACACACAAAATGTTCTTAATCCGAGGTGTGGGTGAGGTCTGTTTTTGAAAACCTAATTCTGCGGGTGATGTAGGCCCCTGGTTTAGAGCCGAAAACCTAACTGGAAAAAGGTATTGTAATAATCCAGGAGAGATATGATATGACCTGATCCAAGAGAGTTTTTTATACATTGACAAGAAGGGAAAACTAACATGATTTTCCCATCATGCATTCTTTCTCATTTATTCATTTAAAATGGCATTGCTACTGAAAAGGTCAGCCTAGTTCCTGCTGCAAGGTGCTCAGGTGACTGAGTGGATGATACGCTGGGCTGCTAACCACAAGGTCAGCAGTTCGAACCCACTAGCTGGTCTTCAGGAGAAAAAGGCTTTCTGCTCTGGTCAAGGTTGCCAGCCTCAGACGCCCAGAGGGTAGTTCTAATGGACTTGCTGCAGTGAGTTTGAGTCCCTGCTGCTGTATCGGGAACATCTTTTTCTGTTAAGGATGTCGCTCTTGCCTGAGTTGGCTACTGTTCAGATGGATATTAAGTTGAAAAAGAAAAAACTTTAATTGACTAAGGGAGCTCATTTTACTTTGAAAGTTTTTTGTTCTTCCACCAACTTTCTACGTCTGTGTTTCTAAAGTCCGTAAGTCAAATGCCAAAGGGGCAGGGGATTCATTCTTTGTAGGTGATTCATTCGAAAGCCATTAGAGTTCTGCACAGCAGGAAGACTCTCAACGAGATGAACTGACACTGTGGCGGGCCAACCGTGAGAAGGGCATGGACCGGGCTGTCTTTTCAGCTGTGGCACATAGGGTCGCTGTGAGTCAGAACCAACTCAATGGCACCCAGCATCAAAGAACGACAAGCTGAAGTTCTGATCAAATTAAATCTGAATAATTTCAGATTTAGCTTTTGCTTCAAGCCCACTTCCTGCGTGTCCAATTTACCTTCCTATGAGGCCAACTGGACCTGCACTGCTTGAGGTGGAAGCCATCAATCGAAAGTAAATCAATGCTACACATTTTACCTCTCAGTCCCACTGCTCACTTTCCAAACGTCAGCATCCAGTCACGCGTGACTTCACTACTCTCCTAGACAGCACGGGCACCTTCCCTCAGCCATGGCAGGTGATTCTATGTGACAGTGCTGCTTTAGGCTCTCCAACGGATTCTTTTTAGTATTCAAATCTTATCTCTAGGCAGCGTTGATGCAGTTTTAAAATGTCAAGAACTGCTCTATTGTGCTACTGGTTTGGTGGTCACACCTACTTAATTCCAGGACCCAAGTAACTAGTGTTGGTTGTAGAAATGTCCTAATCCAAGTTAAAAGTGAATGCAGAGAGGGGTGAGTCAGGAAGAGAAAACAAAGCAAAAAAATACCAGTCAGTTCCAAGGATCCTTGTCCTAATTCTGCTCACTTTCCACTTACCAGTTAAGTACCTAATGCTTTTGATGTAAACATACTCATCAGAACCAGTGGGAAGTTTTCCAGGGGGAAGTCTACCCACCCCTTCTGAAGAGTGCACAGTCTCTTCTAAACTCTGAGAACCGCCCCAATCCACTTTCCCTTCCGACCCCTTATCCATTTTTCCTAGATGTTCCCTCACGTCTGTCTCATAAACATACATTCTCAAGTCAAAGTTCTCCCCCATGGCTTTCATCTCTTTTATGGTAATAAAGTTCCACTAAACTGTGATATCA